CCCAAACTCCTACCCCGGCGCCCAAACTCCTCCCCCGGCGCCGGACCGGCGCCGGGTCAGTCAAGAATAATTGAATTCAATTTTCGTTTTGTTTACTTAGTGGTGAAAGAAAATATTAATGCAACTTTAGACGGAGACAATCCTTCAGATGTTCATTGGTCATTTCAACAATGCTTGCTAGGCATCTTCTTTGTCGATGGAGGTCTGACACCAAGTTTACGTCCGGGGCCCGGCGCCGGGTGCCGGGAAGCTTCCGTTGACTGACTGAATGATGTATTCAATTCGTCTGTCGTCAATAATAGTTGTAACTTGTGTGGTCTGTTGAGCTGGCCCAGACTGACCCGGACTGATTGACTGATTGCATTTTTACTTTTTCGTGCAATGGCAATTTCTGGTCGGCCCGCCGAACCACCCAAAGAGGAGTGGAACCGGGTGACGTGGCAAATATTTATCAATTCTATTTTATGATTTGAACGGCTAAACCCACCAAGACATCATTACGACAGTCGAACAGTTTTAGCGACGCCAAGGCTGCCGTGAGCAATGTGCAGTCTCAGATCAAATTTGTGAATGACAACCTGGTCAAGTTCCTGCAAGCCAACGGCAAGTTGCGTGCAGTGGGGATAGACAAAGCGAGTTCCATCAAGAAGTTGGTTGACATTCCGCCGCTGAAACTGATCAACGAAGGGGCTGAGAAGCCGAGCAGTGAGTCGTCTTACAAGGAGATGTTCCACAAAGAGCGATGTTTGACCAGCTTGACTCCTGATAGGATTCTGCTAACTCCTTTACTTTTTTAGATTTGTCAATAGCAACTGTATTATTCAATTCATATGTCAGAGTCAGTTAATTGACTCTGACTCAATTGGTCATTCAGAATATTAATGTCACTGAGGACGCACTTGGAACTATATGAAGCAGGGGGCTCCGTTTTTTTGGCTTGACCACAACTCGAAGTCAGACACCTGGTTGTCTTTTGCAGATGTGGATGATTGGTCATACACATGGACTCAAGTAAATGCAGAACGCCGATTGATTGCCCCCGTGACCTTCATTGTCGGCATGACTGAAGATGGTATGAAGAACATCCATGCCAATCTTTGGTCTCTTGTAGCTGGACATGGTGTCTTTGATAAATTGGATTGATTTCGCATTTTATTCAATTGCGGGGGGCTATTTCTGTGTGATCTGCCAATTAAACAGTCATCCAAGTTTCTGGCGGAAACTCAGGTGCTTTGCAGGGGTTTTACCTCGTTCTGGCACGGGCAATGTCTCAAGGTGATGTCAACAGGGCCGTGGCGGTGCTCACAGCAGGTTTGACGGTGACAATCCGGATTCACCTCTTGCCCAAGTCTGACCCTGAACAAACGTTGGCAAAACTCAGATTGGTCAGGTCTTGGCGAGTTGGCGCCGTCTACCTTGCGCTGGATGAAATGGTTCATCGCCTCGTATGACATCCAGAAGTCTGACCAGAACACCATCAAAGACCTGGCTTCCAAGAAGTACACCTTTAGCGGAGGAAGGCCCGTGAACAAGAGCGTGCTTGACAGTGCCCTCATAGTTCGCCAGGCCGGCCTGACTGAAGAGTGCATGTTTGACCTTCTGTACTCACTGGAGAAAGAATATAAGATGAACGGTCTGACCAACAGCCACTCGAACCTTCAGCGGGTTTGTATGACCGTTCGCAAGTCCATGGCAGAGATGGCCCTGGCTGACAGACTGGCCGACATGGAGTACTCTGCGCCTGACTTGCCATCCGAGATGCCGCCAAATCTTGCGTCTGGCAGCAGCAAGGGCACAGACAAGACTTTGAAGGAGGGGGTGTATTTCGTGTTTGCTTGCTTGAAGAGCCAGCTTGACGGGAAGTGTCTGCAGCCAAATGAAGTGACCGGCGATATTTTGGAGAGCTTCTGCCAGGTGTCCATGGCAAAGCTTTGCCTGATACACTTCATTGCAAGTGTTGTCAGGGTCCTTCCGTCTGACGACAAGGACTGTGCTTATTGACAAGTGTTTAGTTTTAAATAACTTGTCGCTTAACTCAAGTCAGACGGAGAAAGTTTAATTGGCTGACAGGCCAGGTGATGGTTTCGAGGCTTTTTTCAAGGTTTGTTCAGTTCCCTTTCTGTTCCCTTTCTCAGGATGACAAAGCCCTGCGAATGAACATGCTCAAGTCCGTGCATGTGTCGCTCAACCCTCTGAAGTGGTGTGAGCTCAATGGATCCAAGGCGGGTGAAACTTCAGCGGATTTTGCGAAGGACTATTTGAAGGTGACTGAGTTGCCTGACGCTTTGGCGAAACTCCTCGAGAACCTTGAGGATTTGATCTCACATGCTAGGGATGAGGACTGACATACACATTTCTGAGTCAGTTTGAATCATAGGTGAGGAAATTTACATTTAAAAAGCTCAACTAAGTTGAGAATGTCCACCCCAGTTGTTGACACACAACAGCGCGCAGTCTGATGTGAGCCCTGGATTAGGACATTGACAATACTTGGCGAGCATCCCAGCCTGACAGAATTTGTTGGCACAGTCTTTAGGGGCACAGACTCGAGCCTGACCAAGCTGGAGTTGTGCAGAACGTGGCGTTCATGGTACAAGGAGGTTGCCGGAAACAGCAAGAAGGTGGTCTCGATCCTTGTCAGCAATTAAATTACTGTCAGTCAGGCATGGTTCTGTACACCGACTAGTGGGGTTGCAGTAGTGTGTAAATATGACTGACAGTTTGACATTATAAAACCTGTCACCTGTCGATGTTGTGAGAGAGTCTGAGGGCCACAGCTGTTCCCACAATCGATTTGATTGAGAAAGCTGCCAAGTCTGACAAAGATCCTGACCAAGTGTGGAAACAGGCATGGCTTTTAAAGTCAGGATGATTAAATTAGTCCACCATTTTTCAATAATTCACGTTCTTAATAAGGCTTAGATTTTTGACTTGATCACTTCCCCTGAATGCAGGTGTCTGAACGCAGGCTTGCCGTTGTGCGCTTTCACTCTGCGCCTGAAGCGACTTGGGCGTCGATGCCACAGGTGCTCGGCATAGAAGGGTGCCACAGACCAAGAAAAGGTTCCTCAAGGGCAGGGGCAGAGCCGGAATACTTCATCGTCTCAAACTTCAGAGGAACATTCGCTATAGACTCCATCGAAGTGCAATCCACCCGGTGATGTCGTGGGGAGCACAGGCCACAGGACTAGCTCACAGCGGAGACAACAGCTCCGGGTCTTGGCGGCCAGAGGTCTTCAACTCCAGCGGTCAGGATCAGTTGATGTCGTCTACGACATGAACCCCTCAATCATCCAGCAACGTATGCTCTCGGTGTGGAAGATATACCACTCGTTTGATGAGAGCACACAACATCTGTTCTGGACCAGCTGGAACGTTGCCCTTGGCGCACTTCAGAAGGCAAGGTATCGATGGCAGGTGGTGCATGGTCCCCTTCAAGCTCTACAGGCCTATTTGCTGGACTACGACTTCGATTTGTCCAATGGGAAATCCTGGAAGAGAACAGGATATGGCGGCATTCCTGACTGTGTCCTTTCACTGGAGGAGAGCTGGCCCTTGATCCAACACAAGTTGCAAGAGGAATTTCGTTGGCAACGGTTGTTGCGCCTGACCAGGCACGAGGGCTGCCGCGATCTCGAACGGCAGTTGGACTGGCAAGTCTCGCATGTCATCCAAAAGTACACGGACGACCGTTTGGGCCCAGCTTTGAGAGCACTTCATCAGGGAACCCTTCATGGATTGTCAGGCACTTGCCCACTATGTGGAGTTGAACTGACCTTCAAACATGTCCTCTGGGAGTGTCAGTTTTGGACAGGGAAGGCCAAGGAATTGCCAGAGCAATGGAAGCAGAGGTTGGCAGCTGGCACTGAACCAGAATTGTGGCAACGAGGCACGGCGCAGTCCATTTTCTACATCCAGAAAGGCGGCGTGGGCACCTTTGTCACGGAAGGTCTTTGGACACCGCAGGAGGTCAGACCCCTCCTCTTTGGCAAACAGGAGGTGGACTCCAACGATACAAGGAGAGCCTTCCAACAGGATGCTGACAGGTTGGCCAAGCGCTTTGCTCATGAGTCCCGGAATGAAGAGATCCTGGACTTACAGAAGCACATTGATGAGGACGTTGCGGGGGCGAGAATGCGCATTCTGCTGGAGGACCGCTCCCACTTCTTGCACCAGAGTCAGAAGGGCCACATGGATCACCGATGGTGCAACAAAAGAAGACCATCCTGGAACAGTTGCTGGCGTTTCCCACTCAAGGAGGGCACCTCTGGCAGGTCTACCGGTCCGGAGTTCGATGTCAGCAAGAGCTTGATGGGTGAATTGCGGCCGGCTTTGACATCCCAATGTGAGCAGGCTACTCCACAGACCAGGCCAAAGCAGACAAGATTTGAGATCATTGGTGATCTCATCAGTGCTCAGGAAGGGGTCCAACCCGGTGTGCATCACCTACGCTTAGACAAAGCGTACTTGCGCTGTACAGAATGTAAATCATACATTCTTGCAAGGTGTCGAGAAGATGCATTCAACACGTTTGTTGGCAGCCCATGCCATGTTGGCCTTCTCACGGACAGCCAATGGAGCGGACACCCATCACACACGGTGATGCGCCAGGGCTCCAATCTTTCATGCTTGAGATGCCATGGCCGCTGCAAAATCAGCGAGCAGAGCATTGAGCTGACGGAGAAACTGCGCAAGCCCTGTCAGCAAGGAGGGTCACAGGACCCTCGAAGGTGGTTTAACTAGGTTCCTTGCAGCACTTGCAGGCACGCGGAAAAGGGCGAGCAAAAAAAAAAATGTATGTATGTATGTATGTATGTATGTATGTATGTTGATATATTGTGCCCCGCAAAGTCCATGCATTGAAAGGTATTGCAAACACATTGAATTGGTAGATCTTAGGGGGTTATCATATATGTATATATATATATGTGTATACTTGCACATAGACACCCTTGTTCTGAATCGTTTTGATTCGAGAAGAATGGTTGAGCACTTACCAGGTATGGATGGACGCATCCAGTGCGTGCTGGAGCTCGAGCGCCTCTTCAAGATCCGTTACTATTGGCCACCTCTTGAGGCAGGGAGCAGTTGCCACACACATTTGGCTCCGACCAATCCAAAGATCCAAAGAGCTTCGGGCATGTCGCTGGGCAGTGTTGGCGCGAGTACTGTAAAGTTATGGCGCTGAACACGTTTCTGCCAAGCACCCTAGGGTACATGCAGAAACTAGGCAATGTGAGGTCCCAGCCCTGGTTTGCAGTCTAGAACAATATGTCAAACTAAAAGCCAGGTATGGCAGGTGATGGGTCTTTAGTGATGACTCGCGGAGCCGAAGTGCAAGGCCTCTGAGACAGTTTGGCTTGAAGCCCTGATGGTTGTGAAGGCGCGCTGCCCAGAGGCCTGTCCAGAGAGACCCTTGGCTGGAACGATGCGGGGCAGTCGTCATTGCATGTCATTGCGATATCACGCGCGTCCGGTGTTTGATCCCACCGTTTTATCGATTCGCACCGCTTTACACCGCGCCGATTCGCACCTACAAGATCCCCGTTGCTAGTCATTTATTATTGTTGTTTTACTCATTTACCGTAATCTAAAGTAACATCACCCTACTATTGAAGGGGTTGCTGTCAAGGAGACACCTATTTCAAAATGCAACATGTTCATTCTGGCGCTTGAAAAGGCATAACAACAAGAGTCATTAAGAAGAACATGTTGGACGTCATGAAGAAGCATAACAAAGGTAATTATCAAGGGCACTTCAAGGCAGGGTGTTTTTCCCTCAAAAATTATTGATTTTGGAAATTTGGATCTCAGCCACATGATGAACACACGTGATTCTGAGAGCAAGACTCAGTGATTTCATCAACAAAAAGAACTTTTTTGAAACCACATGTGAAACACTAACCCAACAACACTAAAAAGAGAACGACCACCAAACCAATGCAAGAAACATGCTTTAATACGTCCGCAGCATATGAACCATTATATATGTCTGTGAAGCTTTTGCTCCAAATAAGAAGTTGTTGTATTTTGGAATGGTTTCTTGGTGTGTCAATTTATTCAAGGCATTTTTCAAAACAGGGGAAGATTTGGTCTAATCCCGATCTATGGGCACTAAGCCATTCTCAAATATAGCCAGGCCACTCCCAAATATGCCAAAACTGATCAAACTCGTCAAAAAGAGAAACATGTTTCCCAAAGAGCTACAGTAATATAATATATGTTTATAGAGTTTGTTGGTGTTTGCGTTTTTTCAACTCTTTCTCACTTATATTTCATGTTTTTTTGATCAGTTCCACCAGAAGTTTGGTACTTCTCCATTGAACTTGCCATTCTATTGCGCGCATTGCTCGTTCTAATCCAAAGTCTTCTGTAAGAAACCGTTTGTTGCTTTTGAAACCTGTCATGCCGAACCACCAGCAGTCACCTAGCAAAGACTGCTCAGGCTGTTCTGAAACAATGGTGTGGGGACGCTAGTGCAGACTCTTCTGAAAAGATTTGGGACCACTTCCCAAAAGAAGGGTGAACAACAATTGAAGCTTGGTGCCATGATGTGCCATGTAGCCACACCGAAAAACGAGGGGACCTTAAAGAAAACTTAAAAAAGTTGTATCGCAGAAAACTTCTTGATTCTCAAGACTCTTATAACGAAATCACCACCCAGAACCCGCTACTTGTACTGCCAGATCCGAGATTTGCTGGTTTGCCGGGAGTGTGTGGTTTGTGCTTCCAAGGTTGAGTCATTTTATTTCGCTGCTAGGTTCTTTGGGTTGCACGGTTTGCAGCTAGGGGTTCAAACTTTAAAAGATAGACTTTTCGGATTTGTTGCTGGTTTCATGGTTAAAGCGACGCCTTTGAGTGTTCTTGGATGATTTCCTGACTTTCTTGTGAACTCTGAATTCTGATTAGTGTTGTTTGTAGCTATGTGACATGTGAGTTTTTGTTTGACCCGTTGGAGAAAAGCAAAGTGTCCGCCTCATCACTCAAACCGTACAGAACAAACTCACCGCCACTACTCAAGACTTGTAATACTTACCAAAACCAGTGTCACCCTCAAGACTAAACAATGAAAATAGTAGAAAGTTCCCACTGTACAAGTTCAATAGCACCCCCGCCACCCGCACACAAACTTTGTAGTACAAAACCCATATTCATATATTGCGCAGGGTTCCACAAAAGTTCTTGCAGACTTCCACGGCCTCAGGTGCAAGATGCTTATCCTGATTTGTACCAAAAACACTCTAGTCTAAAGCAACATTTTTGAGTAACAGCTCTAATAATGAATTGTGCAGGTTTGAACATGTTACTCAAAAACGTTCATTTTGCTTGATTTCGGGCCAAATGAAGGAAGACGGAAGACCCATGACACCTGTTGATTCATTGAAACACTGCATTCCACAACATCTACCAAAATGACTGTTGCAAATACAATGCGCAGACCTTTGGAACAACATGATCATCGCAAACAAAACGACTATTAAGACTTTTTGACGGGAAGCATCTTGCACCTGAGGTTGTGGAAGTCTGCAAGAACTTTTATGTGTGGAACCTTGCGAGGTTCGACCCACAAGGGGCCCACAAGTATGTTGAACATGTCGATACGCCTCCAGAACTTCGTAACAAACCAGGCTCTTAAGCATGAAAGCTTGAGGGCAGACGGCAGTTATGGACTGACCAAAAGAGAAGCCACGAAATGTTCTTGAGGCTCCATTCACACATGCAGGCAACCCGTAAACCCACGCAAACCCGCACAACTCGTAAGCCCGCGCAACCTGCGTAAACCCACGCAAACACGTGCAATCCCCCAAACCTGGACAAACATGTGTAAGCCGCGAAAACCTGTGCAAGCACGTGCCAATTTGTAAGCCCACGCAATCAAATCCAGACACATATCCCGTCGCACTGCAAGTTGTTCGACATGAACGTGCAACATTTTTTCTCACCAACACTTTCGATGACGCAAACAGGCCGTTGGCCTGTTTGGATCCATGTATTTGCTCAGCCTCAATGCTGGAGATTGGGTCTCGAATCAGAGCGAACCCAGCGATTTGCCAGACCGTTCAGGTTCAGGCTCAGACATGTGATGAAAGGACCAGAAATCGAACGCCTTTGGTCTTAGCAGCACGAAGTTATATATATATATATATTATATATATATATATAATGACAGGGGGCATGATGCTGTCTCTGAATGATTCCCCAGCAGCAATGGAATTCTGAATTGACAAACTGAACTATTCAAATGTCCAGTTCATGATTGAATCAGGCAATTCTTTCCAAAGGGCCGATCTAACGCATTAAGAGTGGCTATGTCCGCTGCTGCGCGGGGCAACCAATCCAAGCCAATCCGTAGACCCCATTGGTTTTCACCACTAGGCTGTGAGAGCCTTATTCGACAGCGTTTGATGCAGTGCCGTGAGAGCTTGGCTGATTCGCTTGGGCAACACCAGCTTTTCCTTTCACATTGAGGCTTTGACTACGGTGCAATTGTGCTTTTTGAGTCTCCGAAGATGGAGCCACGTGTGGAGTACAGCGCGCTGCCCTTGATCGTGGAGAAGGCTCGGGACAACTGGGGAATTTGCAAGGATGTTTATCCAAGGCCAGTTCTTTTCTACGTATGCGAGGAGTCACGCACACTCATACGAGCATCTGACTAGACTTCCGTACATGTACGGCAATTACTTGCCATTGATCATAACTGTGCATAACGGATAGGGTCGAACCCTATGCCCTTCCTTGATTGAAAGTAGCTCATTGCCTGCATTTCAATAATTACTAGAATCCGACAATAGGAGCCAACCCCAAATACTTTTGCATTGAGGACATGAAGAAGATTTGCTGTCCACCACTCATATGTTTGGCAGAGCAGGTGAAGCAGCGAAGCACAGGTGCATTACTGTATGTCTTTTTTGAAACGCATGTGTCCACTGAGCACACCAGACCTCATAAGATATATGCATGCAAGAAGCGCAAAGGTCCAGCTCTTGCTACGGAGGTCTTTCCTGTAAAGCAATGGCGCTTGGTGGATCACCACGAAGCACATGCGCGGATGAGCTTTTTCGATTCACCTTTTCAGCAAGCGCTGATTTTGAGCTATGATGGTGGTGGCAATGACGGACTGATGGGAAGGGTCTGGATATGTCAGATATGTTGAGTGGGCTGATATGCACGTTCTCAGATTGCAAAGGAGTTTTCAATGTCTACTACGGCCAAGAGAAGACTGTCCTCCGTCTTGGCCAACTTGGCATTGATTTGGGTGAGAGAGACTTGCCTGAGACATGGGTTGGATATACAGTATATATATATATAGTTAGAAATCTATCACTTGCTACATTTTTTAAATACATACTGTAGCTTGTAGCTATATAATACCACACATAGGAGAAAAGCCTTCAAATCACTCACCAGAGGTTGAGTCCATGTCCAATTCTATTTTCCCTTCCTTGTTCAGCGGGAGATTTCCGAACCCATCCGAATATAATTAGAGGGTACTCATGGTTAAGGACAATTACAGGCCGATATGAAGCACTTGGCAACAAACCGCTCTCATGGAGGAACTCTTGTACCACCCCATGCACAGTGGAGCTCCCAGTCGCACCTGCCCAGGATATGCCACTATTGGAGCCATGATGATGCTCGCAGTCAAATAGCCCCCGTATTGTTGTATTCCTGTACGGTGACAAATCACGCTTGGCAGCGTGTGGTCTAAAGCAACACTCCCGCGGTAAAGTGCAGAATCCTAGTACGTGAAGATGTGCTGCGAAAGTGCAAATTGAGACAATTGAGTCAATTGAGCCTTGTCGGCCTTGTCGGCTTGGAGTGAATATTCTTTGGACATGGACAAAATCAACGGCTTTCCAGGACTGAAATCTCCAGCCGTGAAGTGGATGCTAGCTTCTTGGAGGCAACGACTTGGGTCTGTCTTGCTTGACCATGGAGTCAGTAACCACGCTCTTACAAGGGTCGATACTTTCTGGTTTCTTCGTTGTGAGGTATGAGTATGTAACAATGGATATGTAAGATACTGTACCGAGATCGCCAGCAGATCATTTTGGTCAGTCTGTCAGTCTTCTGATTGCGTCCTCATCTGGAGAATCCCCGATATAGAGGCTGGCTTCAAAACGGCCGTTCGCGAGTGTCTTGACGGCTGTGCTCATTTCCCTTCTGCTCTTATACATGGTACCCCGCCCCCGGGGATAAAGACTAGTCACCACCTTTGACGGTTCCGTAGTGTTTGGCTCTAGTGACGGTTGATGGCAGTTTGTAAGGGCTGCTTCAACCGATTAGGCCAAGCCGTGGGTACATCGGGGCATTGTAATCCCTGCTACTTGGCCACTCGTATAGAACGGGTGGTGTTGACGCGGTACCCTCCCGCGAAAGCTGCTGAGTTGACACATTACCTGGCAAAGGTACTCAACAACCTCGAGGCTGACACCGAGGCCTTCGAGACCGACAAGACCTCTGGCGTGGTAGATCAACAGGGGTATTTGATCGAGAAGAAGGACACCAAGGTCAGGCCTCCCTTGCAGCTCGCCGCGGGGGAACACCCTGGTGACCAACACCCTCAAGCCGCATCAGCTGGCGTGAAGAAGGAAAAGCAGGCAGAGGCAGAGGTTGGCACTCCTGGTTCATCGTCCCGGCATAGGCGTCGACGACGAGAGGAGAAGGGAAAGTCAAGGAGCAGGAGTCGAAGGCGGGACCGCCGAAAGACCAAGAAGGAGGCTACTCCCGAACCGGAGCAGGAGGTTGCAACAGAACCGGAGGAAGAGCAGGAGGAGGCCGCGATCGAAGCAGAGGTTGAGACTGAGGAGAACGAGGAGGTGAGTGAAGAGCCATCTCAACAAGACGACGACGTCAGCCCAGACACGGAGGTCGCCAGAGACCCAGAGGGGGCGGGACTTAGGAAAGTTCCACCAAAGCCATCGGCCCGAAAGCCGTTACCGAGAAGGCCGCGCACTCCATCGAGATCACCACCGGGATATCGTGGACGGCAGCAAGAGCCTACAAAGAAGTGGAAGGGTGTCAAGCACATCATACGGGGGCAAACCCTGGGATACAGCAGCAAGGGGCGACCGTGCAAGGGAAAAGGTAAAGGAAAATGGCACCGAAGATGAGGAGGCCCGCCAGAGCCGGAGAGCCCGATCGCTTGAGACGAGGCCTACGTCGACCTGCCGCTCATCGAGAGGACGTTGGAGCTCGGGGCGAAGAAGCCCTGCCTTGGGATCCGAGTGTGGGAGATCTGGTGGTCGCAGAGGGAGCGCACTACTACGGCGCTCCGTGTCGCTTCACCGGTCGCATCCTCGAGGACACGAGGGACGCAGCTGGGCGCCACTTGAGCATCCGACTTCACGGCACCGATCACGAACCCCTTTTGACATGGGCCACAGGAGCCACGACCTCCGCCCGTGTTCATCTATGCCCAGAAGGTTGCTCGAGGGAAGCCGAAGGCCCAGGCCTTATACACTGCAGCGACCTCCGCAGCATCAGGTCATTAGAGGAGTTAGTCGGAGTCCCTTGGCGAGACGTGTTGCTGGAGGGGCGACCAAAGGCCGAGGACGAGCTGGCAGGGTTGAGGAGCAGAATGGAGGCAGTCGGGGGACCAAGCCCTGGGGCAGCAGCAGCGGCGGCGGAGATCGAAGAGAAAGAGAACAAGGAAAAGGAGGACAAAGAGAAAAAGAAAGAAAAGAAAAAGAGAAAGAAGAAGCGGAAGAAAAGTCGCTCCCCGAGGTCAAAGAGCGGGGAATCAAAGAGAGGGAGGTCAAAGAAAAGAAAGAAGGAAGCGGGGAGAGACCCTGGCAGTTCATCCAGTTCAACGAGCAGTTCATCCACCGTGGAGTTCAAAGAGGTCCCGCAGGAAGTGTTGTTCCGGGGGTCGGGGATGGACCCTCACGTCCGCACCCGGAGGAAACAGCGACGCCGAGCTCAACGCATGGCCCGTCGATCTCACCGCCGATCGCGCGGGACATGACTCGGCTGGGAGGGATTGACGAGGTGACAGAGGATTTTGAATGGAGCTCTTTTTCATAGACTATAAGGGTGATGAGGTCAAGACAGCGCAGCAATTCACGTGGAAGAACATCAAACCCGCCATACCCCGAGAAATTGGTGTGGTGGAGTTGAAGAACATTTGTGAGCAGGGCTGCAAGCACTACATTGAAAATTTTCCAGACTTCCTCAAGCCATCCCATGAGTGGGAGCAGGTGCGCAAGGCAAGAGTCATGGTAGCTGATAGGGACTGGACAGAAGTAGCAACTGGTCTGCTCGAAGCCGGTATTTTCGGGGTTGTCCCTGAGTCGGAGGTCTTTAGGGTGCATGGGAGACCATTACTTAACGGACTTTTTGGAGTGGAGAAACACGAAGAAGTGGAGGGCACCCCTGTTTACAGGTTAATTATGAATCTGGTGCCACTCAATGCCCTGTGTCAAGGGCTGCACGGGGATATCACTACCCTGCCACACTGGTTCGGAATGACGCCTTTCCACATCGAACCGCGTGAGTCCGTGGTAGTATCAAGTGAAGATCTTCGGTGTTTCTTTTACACCCTGCGGCTACCTAGTTGCTGGTACCCCTACTTATGCTTCAACAAGAGACTACCGCCGGAGCTGGTGCCTCCGGAACATCGGGGCCAACCCTGCTATCCTTGCTCAAAGGTATTGCCCATGGGTTTCCTGAACAGCGTTGGTATAGCACAGCACGTTCACAGGGTTCTGGCTATGCGCTCACAGGTTCACAACCAGGTGCGTGATACCGTGTCACAGGAGATACGCAAAGACAGGATACTACCGGACGGGGCGACAGTCTGGCGCGTTTATCTCGACAATTATGATCTGCTAGAGAAGTACCCTCACGAGGTGCTAGGAGGCCTGGTCGAAGAGGACGCCCCGGAAGTACTGGCCCTGAGGCAGGAATACCAGGCATGGGGACTCCCCCGCCATCCCGGCAAAGCAGTGAGTCGGAAGACAGTCGCCGAAGTACAAGGAGCAGTTATTGACGGAGAACGGGGCATCGCGTACCCTAAGGGGCAGAAGCTATCAAAGTATGTCACCATCGCCTACCAGTTGGTGAATGAGACTCACTGTTCACAAAGGCAGATGCAGGTAGTGTGCGGTGGTCTGGTGTATTTCTCCACTTTCCGTCGACAACTTCTCGGAGGGCTGAACCTCTGCTGGGCGTTTATTGAGTCGTTCAACTCTTGTGGGCGTTACAAACAGCTCATCCCGAATGGAGTCAAACTGGAGATTACTCGTTTCCTGTGTCTAGTCCCTCTCTGCCGCATGGACTTCCGCCTGACGATGAACCCAAAGGTCACCTGCAGCGATGCCTCACAGCACGGGGGAGGTGTCTGCGTAACTACGGGGAGAAGGTGGCCCTGGGTGAGGAACGTCGAGAGATGGTGGCTTTCGGCGGACCAAGGATCTTGAGCATCGGTCTCTTCGATGGGATCGGATGTCTCAGGGTCGCCCTGGATCTACTTGGGTGTGACGTGATAGGCCACATCTGTGTTGAGAAAGACGCTGCAGCCCGGAGGGTAGTTGAGCACCACTTTCCAGACAGCTGGCACTACGACGACGTTGCGGAGATCTCGGTGGTCGACGTGCAGCGTTGGGCGTTACGCCGTTACGCTATGGGCAAGCATCGCTGATCCTGATTGGAGCGGGACCCCCATGTCAGGGAGTCTCAGGACTCAACAGCCAGCGAAAGGGGGCATTGCGTGATGAGCGGTCGTCATTGTTCGTTCACGTCAAGCGGTTTGCGTGAGTTGGTACAGTGTTTGTTTCCTTGGGGACTCCACTGTTTGATGGAGAGCGTAGCATCCATGGATGATCGTGACAAGAAAATCATGTCAGACTCGTTCGGGGATCGACCCTGGGAGATCGACGCTGGAACGATTTGCTGGTGCAGCCGACCACGGCTGTATTGGATAAGCTGGGAACTCAACGATCATGGGGACGACGTGGCGATCGACGGCAGGCACGTGACACTGACGGGGCATCAACCCTGGTCAACATCAGTCGAAGCCGGCTGGACAAAGGTCGACGAGGACAGACCCTTCCCTACATTCACCACATCAAGACCACGCACAACTCGGGGACATCGCCCTGCAGGCCTGGACACGTGCGACAAAAGTACCATCGCTCGGTGGGAGGAGGACCTTCACAGGTTCCCGCCTTATCAATATATTCCCCGAAATTGTGTGGTCAACAAACGCGGTGAATACAGGCTTCCGAACATTCGCGAACGGGAGTACATGATGGGGCTACCAGTAGGTTACACTCAGATGTGCATGCCCAAGTCGATGCGAAAGCACGCCGATTGCCTTGACAAGCGGCTGACGTTGGTCGGGAATGCCTGGGCCGTGCCAGTGGTAAGCTGGCTTCTTGGGCAACTGGTAGGACCTCGGGGGGCTGGATCCCTGCTATCTCCCGCTGAAGTTCTCTCTCGGCTCACCTTGGAAGGGAATCCCTTCATCCAGTCGCGACTGTTGCGGCCCCCGCTGCAGACTGATCAGCGTGTGAGTACAGGGTCCGAGGAGGCCTTGGCACAGCAATTGGGTCGCCTGGTTTCCACGAAAGGGTCAGATCTTATGATTACGGCGGCGCAAGATGAGATCCAGAGCTATCAGCGGCTTCGACACACGGTCAATGCAAAGATGTGGCGATGGAAAGTTGTATCAGGCTGGAGGTGGCGTACACCAGGGGAGCATATAAACTCGCTGGAACTCAGGGCTATTTTGGCTTGTCTCCGGTGGAGATGTGAGCATTTGAGGGAGCATGGATGCCGTATCATTCACCTCACGGATTCCCTTGTATGCCTTCACAGTCTCACCCGTGGAAGGACTTCATCTCGCCGATTACGCAGAACCCTTTGCCGAATCAACTCGCTTCTATTGGCTCACAACCTTGGTGCCCTATGGGGCTATGTTCATACTGACCTGAACCCGGCGGATTAGCCGTCGCGGTGGTCAGTGAAGACTAAGTTTAAGCATGCCAAAGGTCGTACTTGAGGGAACCACTCAGGCCAGTAGAGCGAGAGAAAGGCAAAGGTTAGGTACACTGAGAGGCCTTACGGTCCAACCCGCCACACGTGTGAGATATGATCGTGCTTTGAACCGTTTCCTGGCCTTTCTCAAAGAGGAAGGACTGGAGTTGCCCACTCGTCGCAGTTTCTTAGACCCTCTCGTGATGGAATACATAGAACACCTCTGGCGCACCGGGGAGGGGCGTGGACTGGCCGCCGATACCCTGGCGTCATTGCAGGACTTTGACGCGAAAATTCGGGGGCAACTCCCTGGAGCCTGGCGCCTCGTAAAGACATGGATCACGCATGAATTGCCAAACAGGGCACCACCCATGCCCGAGACCATCCTCCACTCCATGGTGGGATGGAGCTTGTATCATCAGCATTTCTCTTTTGCAACCAGCCTTTTACTTTGTTTTTATGGCACCCTTCGCACTGGTGAATTGCTGGATGTTACCAAGAGTCGGATTGATGTTTCTGAAAGCCTCCGAGTAGCTGTCGTCAGTTTAGGCATGACGAAAGCCGGCAAGAGGGCCGGCGCACAGGAAAGTGTCACGGTGGGGCATGACACAGCCTTCCGTTACCTGCAACACTGGATGTCGCTTGCTAGTACACACCAACGACTTTGTCCGCCAGCGGCCCGTTGGCGCAAACTGTTTAAAACGTGCGTAGAAGCCCTGCACCTGGAACCCCTTGACCTCAGACCATACTCTCTCCGAAGGGGAGGGGCTACATGGTGGTTCTGCCAGCATGGAAACCTAGATCGGGTAATGCTTCTAGGACGCTGGCAGGCCCAAAAGACGGCCCGTCTTTACCTCAACGAATCGAGAGCAGTCTTGACAGAGATGCAGCTAGGTCCTTTTCAGCATTTTTTGACACCGTACCGTACTTTCTTTGCTCATGCCACCCCCAAGTCTTTTAAAACACTTGAGCCGCTGCAAAGCAGCAGGCCGTCCGCCGGTACTCGGCGGCTCGGGGGACGTGGAAAGAAGGGTAGAAAAACCCTTAAGAGACCTTCTAGAAGCTCTTGAAGAGCCGGAAAAAAGGTTCACTTTAAACTCCCCAGGACCTGGCCAGGGACTGGGGTCTGGCGGTTGGGGGGGAGGGTTACCCGGGTACGTCCCCTTCTTTGTGTAGTGGACCAAAGAAGGGGGGGGGGGTAACCATCCCGGTCTGCTTCTTTCGTATTTTTCCCTGATTGTTTACCATTATTTTGACAAACCTGCTGCAGAGCGAACTAGAAAAGGAGGCTGACAAGTCTTTATATATACACATACGTATTTATTTATCTATTCGCCTTTGCTACATTTCCCTAGGTTGCAGCAACTATGTTGCGAAGCCTGCCAGCCTGAACCTGCCTCCTGATGCTCTGGTTGATTTGGTGCATCTTGGATTTCGACTGACTGGTGCAGATGGTGAGCCGGATGATTGATGCTGATTGTACAGTTTCTTAGCCGTCAGCTCTCTGAAACATTGGTTTGATACAACGTCCTGGGGTTGACTCCTTTTGAAAAAGCACCGGTGTGTTGACGAGTTTGATCCAAACACCATACCTTGTCAATTGGTGCAAGTTCATCCCGGTTTGGCTCACTGGAAGCCGACCCGACCCGTGATGCATTCCGCCCAGGTACGGGTATAACTTCTCCATGATTGTTGGCTGCATTTGAGATAGAAAAACTTGGCGGTTTGAGGCTCTTGCTGCTCGTGCTTGTTTGGACTGAACTAATACTTGGACTTTTCGACCTCGCAGCGGACCGCGTTTCGTCCGGAGAGGTTTTCTAGTGGCCACAGAGAACCTCCCAAGGATTGATCATCTCAGCTGGACAGGAAAGCTTATGGCCTATGCATCTTTGGGGGTTCCAAGTCCGGACATCGAAGCTCTGATGTCGAAGTACTTACGAAACCACGCTCAAGGCACGCAGAAAAAGAAGACACCGAAGCTGTAAACCGGTGAACTTAGATCATTTGGACATGACACTCATTGTAGTAGAAGGGTTCGTGACTTCAAGAACCTCTGACCAACAGACGCCAGCTTGCTGGCTTTGGACTTCAAGGATTCAACGGCTTTCAAGCTTTTTCCCGAATGCGTAGCGAAGGGGGTCTGGGGGTAGAGCCTTGTTCGCGACCCGTTGTTTCTATGTTCGCAACCGTCCGCAACCGTTCGGAACCGTCCGCGACCGTCCGCAGGTGTCCGCAGTAGAGCGCTAAGGCGCTGCCATTGGGGGAAGCTTTTGCAAGTGACTTTTCATGGATGTGTCACGTGTCAGTTTGCGACGCAATTCCATTGTGGTTTGCGTGAAAATGACATGTCGCGCAAGAAGCGTGATGCATTTCGCTGCACAGGCGCAGCGTTTTGTGAGATCCTCAGTTTGCTACGCAGTTCCATTGGGATTAGCGTTTGGAGAGTCGTGTTTTTGGGGCGTTGGGTGTGGCCGTGCCATTGGGATTTGCGTTTCAGGGTGTGGCATCGAAGCTCTGTTTTCGTGATCAGTCTCAGCTGAAATGGCGATTTTGGTGGATAGGAGTGTGTTCAGAACGGGCCGAAATCATTCCAAACGTGTGGTGTGGTGCAAATTTTGTTGAAGCTCACATGAGATGATATTGTCACTTTTCGTGGCAGGCGCAGTACTTTGTGCGGATTTTGAGGTGTGGAAGTGCGATTTTCGTGGCAGGTGCAGGGAATCGTGAGGTTGCGAGGTGTGACGGAGGTGACATTTCGTGGCAGGCACAATACTTTGTGCGCGTTAGACGTGTGGATGCGGAAAGATTCGTGGCAGGCGCAGGGAATTGTGTGTGGTAGAGGTGAATATCGCTGTCACAGTGGGCGTGTGAGCGGGTATTGTTTGGAGGGGCTGGACTCGCAAAACTGCTTGGCAGGGCTGCGTGATTTGGAGGAAGTCTCGTACGAAATGCTCGTTTTGCAGACTTTGACATGTGAGTTTTGGAGGAAGTCTCGTACGAAACGCTCGTTTTGGAGACTTGGCACGTGACTTTTGGAGGAAGTCTCGTACGAAACGCTCGTTTTGGAGACTTGACATGTGACTTTTGGAGGAAAAGTCTCGTACGAAACGCTCGTTTTGGAGACTTGGCGTGTGACTTTTTGGAGGAAGTCTCGTACGAAGAGTGCCCTACAAGAGTGTCCCACAAGAGTGTCCTACAAGAGTGTCCCACAAGAGT